GTTAAATTCGTACTAGGTGCAGTCCAATTCCGAATAAATAGTCGATCAAACTACCTGTTCCACCCAGTCCATAAAGTATCAAGTACGCACAAGGTTTAGTATTGTTGGATTAGGATGATCTTTGGTTTCAAGTACCTATGTAGAGGTGGGTAATATCACTTTTAGCCTATATCAAATCGTACCTATGTATTGGAAACGAATATCTGATATTGTATCTATATATTTCAATATCTATATATTTGTTGATGTTTTCGTTATATTAAAAATTAATCGTGTCGTGTTTTATGCCATCTAGCGTATTTTGTGCGTACCACCACCTTGAGATTAACTCTCAATTTTTGTACGATAAAATCATTTTACGTATAAAATGAAGTAGATAGCGCTATTACAAAGTATTATTTTACTCGTTTTCTCCAAAGAATACATTTTTAATTTATTACACAACTTCTCAAAATAGTCCTATATTATGCGTGTAAGCGGACGGGACATTGTTATACATAATAGGTTTAATTGGTTCTACACAATGTCAAATACTAAACTTTAATTAATTTGTTTAAAAAATGTACAGTATCTACCTAATATCTAAGCATCTACATAATATTTTATGTTACACTACTTTTTATACACAAAAACAGTTCAAACCTAAAAAAACTATCATAAACCAAAAAAATTATCAAATTAAAATTAAAATTTCGAAACCGAATTACAAACGAAAGTGAGCAGAGAAATTACATAAAATATTTTATCCGCATTCAAATTACGCGACGCATTTCACGATGCATGTGAACGAAACTGAACATTAAATTTAAAAATAGAACACAAGAGCTTTTTTTGTTGAAACCCAAAGCACAATAGCAAACAGGTAGGTACCTCAATGTTTCAATGTCGGTTTCAACTTAAATTTTCAAGTCGTGTTACAAATATTTAAAATTAATTGGATTAAAAATAACATTCTATTAAATACACAATAAGATCTAAAGTCGTTTATTTCGATATCATTGCAACACAACAAAATATTAATTAAATACCACTTAGACTGGATATTAAAAATAATGTGTTCTGTATTAAATCGTATGTTACTACTAATAAGGATTAATATTAATGATATTAGGCGTAAGCGTATCACCTTTTAGTTGTGAAGTAGTCGTAATATCAGTTTCACCTATATATTCTATCGCGCTCATGGTTTGTTCGGTTGCGCCCTCCTTTCTGCCAAGGAGGGTCGCGTTCGTATACGGCTTAGAGATCTCTAGTCAGATCGTTAAGCCACACCATAAAAGGTTGTCACGCGGGTAAGAGTCACCACATAACCACGCAGCCGGCTGCGTGGTATGCTATGAGCATTCTCAACCTCCCTCCCCCGCTTTCCGGAGGGTTGCCCATAATTGCTTCGGGCGCAAAAAAAAAATGGTTTGTTCGGTATTCGAATCCATGTCTATATTTATAGCCCGTTCATCGTAATGTCGCCTCTACACGTTGGCCAACACAGTGGCGAATGGAGGGGCGAATATATTGGCCGAGAGTTAGTGACGGCGTCCACACGTTGGAAGGTCGTTCAGTTTACTTCGGTTCGGGCTTTTTTTTTTTTTTTTTTTGGGGGGAGGGTGGAAGGTGTTGTGGAGACTTTAACAACTACTTTTGGTATTGGAAGAATGGTCGGGCAATGTGCGGACGAATTTATAAGCACCGTGGCGCAGTGGCTCAGCAATGAGTGGCTGCGCCGGGAGCCGCGGGTTTGATCCCGCACGGAACAAGTATTTGTATGTCCTACAAATAATTGTTTCGGGTCTGGATGTGTGTCCTTGTGCAATTTATGTTTGTAAACTGCCTCCGCGATACGGGAGAAAATCCTAGTGTGGGGTTAACGTTTTTATAAAAGAATTATAAAATAATAGTGGATATTAATGGGGCTGTAAATAGATATACGATATACGATTAGCTTTATTTATTCTTTACATGCATCATAAACTGAAATAAATGCCATTAATAAGAACTTAACTTATTTTAAAGTTAAAGGAGTTATAATCGATAGTCTATGTTTTAAAATTGGGTTTTGTTTTTAAAGTTTAGCAATACATGTACTTGCTTTTCTATCAGACATTTGATGTATATAAAAAACACCTTATAATTTATTTGGTAATTTAATTATTTTTTGAGAAAGACAAAAACAATAGCAATAAACATAATTAACACTGACTTAATAGGTACTAATTATAACTTAGAACATAAATGAAAAACTCATGACAAGGAAAGTGGCTCAGGACCATGCTTTGCGGCATTCTTTGGAGGAGGATGTTCAGTTGTGGACTTGTGAAGAGCTGTAATTATGATGATGATTTGAAAACTTGCACGATTATTTTATAAGAAATCGACGCTTTTTTATATGGGATAGGGTGACAAACGAGCACACAGTTCACCTGATGGTAAGTGGTTGCTGTGGCCCACAGGCATCTACATCTATCCTCGATTACGAATCAAAATGCAGATGCTTTGTCACCCGTGAGGTTAAGATGAAATGCCTCTTTTCCTTTACAAAAGTGTCTCTGGTTCTCTACACTCACTATACGAAACACAGCATCATTAACCTACTATTTTACATTGATATTCTGTGAGGGCTTGGTCCTTCCCCGGTCGAACCGACCCATTCGTGCTACAACTATACTTCTTATATAACTGCATGGTTCTACCACGTATAAACGACGTACTTCATTCTTTTTCAATTTAAAATTGTTCTCGTAATAATCTGATTGTAAATAAATGTTCATTATTTTTTTATAAATAGCTTACCGATTAAAACAAATGTTTAAAAATAATTAAATCGCACTAATAAAAGTAGTAATATTTAAAGTTGAAATTGGCACTAAAAGGCTGGTAATTGGGTCATCCGCCTTACAAAGCGTGAATATAAAATTTTAATCAGATGCGTGTAATCACTCTGGGAGCTTATAGCAAACTAAACTCGCGGCCAACGTGTGGGCGCTGCGACCAAATTCTGCCAACAATCCTTTGATCTTTTGTAAAAAACCAACACCACACGGATCTCGCGCCAACTTGCGGGCCATCGTTCCAATACATACCAATGAAGCCCAAACACCCCGTCTACACGTTGGCCAATGCTATTGGCCACTACATTCGCCACTGTGTTAGCCAACGTGTAGAGGCGCCGTACGCCGTAAGATGTCCCGTGCTGTGATGTTGGCACTATTGCTTGTCAATCTGTTGTCAGTTTGTGATTATAATGCTCGTTTTTTTGTTATTATATAAAATATTCCGACTTAATTACGCCGAAACCATTTAGAAGCAGTGCAAGAGAGGTTGTGTTGAAGTGGAGGTGGGCAAAGTGTATCATTTTTGCGATTGGAACATTTGCATTTTGCATCTCGATCACTGAAATGTTCCGAAGCACTGATATGTTTCATTTGGCTCATTTGGATCATTGACTCAATAAAAAAGTTACGAATACATTAAGTTGCGTCGCGGGCGTTTATTACTGACTGATTCAGTGAAATGTTATGTGGCAACAATGCTGAATGATATAAGTGCTTAGGTTATTTTTAACATATATTTAGTTATTGTTATTTATTGTGTACCGTAATAAGGTTGTATATAAAATCGATCCTCCTTTATATTTTATCCAGACTTAGGACTGGCGGCTAGTCCTTAATTTATGGCAAGCTGGGTTATTATTTATGATGAAAAGGAAGAAAGTAAGTCACAATAATCACTACGCAAAGAAATCCTAAACAGAACTCAGTATGTTTTCGTAAACAGGCGCAAACGAACATAAACAATTTGACAAGTTAGTGCCGGATCAACGTAAAAGGACAACTTGTTAAGGTGAATCCCTGACCAAAATGTTGTGAAAGTGCGTTTTTCAGACTCTATTATCTCATTAGTTATGAAAAATAAACTACATCTAAAAGTACATTATTAATGTTCGATATCTTATCATCACATTCCACGTTCTAATTTATTTTTATGTGCTATAAATACATTTAAAATCAACTTTTAAAAAATGACTAAAATTCTTGATTACATGCATCTGTCGCTAAACGCAACGCTCTAATCATTTGAGGATAACACTAATGGATAGATAATTAAAAAATCTATATTCTCCACGTTTTATTTAAATTTTTAAGTTCGTTTTTTCTCTTTTAATTGAAATAATTCCGAAAATTGTGTGACTTCTACGATAAAGGGGCGTGCGCAGAGCTTACATCTTTAGCCGTGACCCGTGACCGTGAGTGCCACTTCACTTGCCCTCATATGCGTAGTATCCTCTTAGTAGTCTGTTCCATAGATTACTGACTATATACTAGAGACTGGTCTGTGCTTGCCCTACTGCATTAGTGCTGTACGATATATTACTTTCCTCTATGATTAGTGCATTAGGTATTATTAAAATTGTAAAGATTTAACCATTTATGATTTATGTAAGTTTGTTGAGTTTTTTTATAAAAAGGGTAAGTAATTACAATGTTTTTTTTTTTATTTTTTGCTTATATTTCGTATTTTAACAATTTTTATAAAATTTTCAAATATCGTCGTTCAGGTATGAAATAAAGTACTCAGAATTAACTGAAATTGAAATATAAAGTGTGGATAATCACCTTAAATCATGAAAAAAAACACAGAAACTCATATTTTATACAGTCCAATGTGCAAAAATGACGAAAATTGTGGCAAAGTTGTTTTCAAATGGCGTTGCTCAATAAATACATAAACAACAAATAAATATATACCTATGATTGATTTTATTTTGATTTATCAGAGGCTCCTACTGAGTGTATATTATTACGATGTCGATATAGTTTTATGTTATTTCTTTTCTTTATGAAATTTCGAGTGTTTTTTTTCTATATAGAAGTTATTTGAGTGTAGTAATTTAGTATTTCATAATTCATATATATACATTTTATAAACTTTGTCTTATTACTCTTTTCGAGCTTCATAAAGACACAAAATGTTAACATGTGTGTACTACATACATTTTCAGAAAAATGACGAAATTTGATGTTTTATGGTGTGACTCAGACGAGGGTGATCTCAGCGAAGAAGAGGAAGAAACATTTTCACATAATGATGTTGTAAGTTATTTATTATACTCTGGTCTTTGTTATAATTATAAATATGAGTGCATATAGTGGTTGTATAACACGACTGCTGATTATGAAGTCCCCGGTTCAAATTCTGGGTCGGGTCAATAAAATTATTTAATGAGTTTTTCCATCAAGAAATTCCCAGTAGCAGCCCAGAGTCAGGAAGTTGGCGCTGTCTCACCCCCGTACCTCGAAAAGCATGTATAGCCATTGGTCCTGCGCCTGATCTCTCTCCTGTCATGTTGGTTTACCGTCCCGTATATATAAATACCAACATATATATATATATATATATATATATTTGTTGGTATTTATATACCATTTGTATTAAAACAGCCTATAAATTATCTAAAAGACAGCAGTGCTATCCTGGTCAATCCAACTCATGACCATAAAAATATGTTATATGTGTATCTAAAAATGTCTCATACCGCTTGTTTTTAAGGAGCAGGATATGCAGGGGGACTTTGATAACTCCAACGAGGTTATCCTACTGGTCATGTTTGATGAACATGGACAGCATTTGGAGTGTCCAAGTCTCCCTTTAGAACCCGCACCTTCCACTAAGCCAGCACAAGTAAATCCGCTGTTACCAGTGTCACCATCTCTTTCATAAGTTAACTGTTATTATGTTTGTATTAAAGCTTTTTCAAAAAAGTATGTAAGTAGAAGCTACCACAGTTTTTAAACTTTGTCTATATTCAATGAAAACTCTTCACTCTTATATTCATTCAAATCGGATATTTAATTTAGAATTAATGATGGGTATAAAAATGCAATGCACGAACCGTTCGACGCCGCGTCGCCGCGACGTTCTCTATTCTATGGAGTATTTTAACGGGACTTTCACTGGCAGATAACTGGTGTTATAAGGAATTATTAGGGTTCCACAACAATAAATTAAAACCCATGAAATCTAATGGTCATATATTAATACGCAGGCGAAGTCGCGGTGACAGCTAGTATTACATAAAATATGTAGGAACTAAATTATGTTATATAATTTTTATATTTGTCCTGCAGGCGAAATGTTCGTCAAAAAGTGACAGGTAACGAACATTGTTTAATTGTAATTCTTATTTCATATCATTCCTTTCATTAGTTAAAGGAATACTTATTACACTAGTATTATAAAAGAAAGAGATCAGCTACAGGGAACGGTAAATGAGTTTGACCAATGCAGCAAGGAATATGAGGAAGCTCTCTGGTTTAATGCTGCATCGAAGTTACAGTTGAATGAGGCTAATGAGCAAATAGCACAACTTAAAACGTACAAAGATAATCTAAAAGCCTCCAAGACTCAAAGTCTGTTCTCTGAGCTTGTGCAATGTAATACATCTAACTTATTACAGCAATCTGCAATAATAGATTTGACATGTGACAACTCCTCCACTTCAGGAAAAACAGTAAGGATTGATTGCAGTAAAACCTAATTGAAGAAATATATAAAAGTTAATAAATTCATGAAGAAAATTCAAAAATTAATAAAAAAATAAGATTAATACCAAAAATTATGTAAATGTGTGTAAAGAAAAGCAAACATTAATGTATGAACTTTAATTGAATTCAATAGAGGTGGATAACATTAGGGAATAGAGTGAATGGGGCACTACACTCTATTATGAAGAAACAGAATGTGTCAAAAAAGGCACGTATGGTAATTCATAATGCTGTGTTAGTCCCTACTTTAATGTATGGTAGTGAAAGCTGGGTGTGGCAGAAGAAGCACGAAAGTAGAATAAATGCTGTAGAAATGCGGTCTTTAAGGAGTATGCTAGGTTTGAATCCAAATGACAGGGTGAGAAACAGAGAGATAAATGTGGTATGCAAGATGATGTTGTGACCAGGATTAAGAAAGGAATGCTTCGGTGGTTTGGTCATGTAGAAAGAATAAATGAGGAAAGAGTGACAAAGCAAATTTATATGGCAGATGTGAATGGCAGAGTTCGGGAAGGGACGCCCTAGAAAAAAGTTTATCGACCAAATTAGTAGTACCCTTAACCGATGAGCATGTATGCGTAGATATACGGATGTAAAGGAGGCGAAAGAGGTATGTCAGGATCATGCCAAATGGAAGTCCGTAGTCTCTGCCTACCCCTCTGGGTGACAGGCGTGAGTGTTTATATATTATATAACATTAGGTAAAGAATGTTATGAGACTGACATAGAGTGCCTTAAATCAGAAATTTTACTACTTTCTGACTCCCTTCAAACTTTGTACAATAAATATAAATCGGCCCAAAATGAAATTAAAGAACACATGCTGGCTATGGATAACCTGGCAAAGACATGGAAATGTAATGAGTAGGGTTTTGAGTCCTTAGTAAATCATCAATATATATATAATATAATAATTTAAAGGGGAATGGCAGGCTTGTATGGGAGTTTCGTACCACTAATAAAATTTCGTGTTTTGGGATATTTTTGGTTTTAATTGGTAGTTAGTAGGATAGACAAACCCCTTTTAAATTCTTAGATTTTTACATTGAGCTATAGTATACTACGTACTGGAGGCGACACTGCATTCAGCTACTCTGTTCCTCTCAACTGCGGTGCATACACCGCACTTTAATCAGTCACTCGCTAGGCTCTTATAGTGTTGTCACGTGTTGTGTTGATTTAAAAAAATCTCTTGATAAAAATATGCCGTCGTATATTCTTAGATATTGCACAAATAATTAAAGAAATGTCAGTAAAGGAATTAATTTTCATCGGTTAATAAGATACTTAATCAATAAAACGTATTATGTATTAATAACAAAACAAATTATTCCTAAGCCGCCATCTCGAGTCATGGAATATAGATTATGAAATTAATATGTTCAGATGTGACATTTCTGTGGGTACTTAAGTATAGAACAAATATATTATTATATACATTTTTTTTTTGTAGAAACATATATAAGTTATTATAATTTGGCAAAATTTTTCATGTTTAAATCTGCTTATTATTCTTTTATTTTCATCAAAGTCAAAGTGGAATAAATTGGTCCATTTTTAACTCTCGCGTGCCCAGCATTTATGAATGACTTTTATTCTAATTTAAATGAATATTTGTAATTTAAATGTTATGTTACATTTAGTATGTTTGTTATATTTGACTTAGATACCTTTTAAAATATTCTGATAAAACTATCATTAAAATGTAATTGTGATATAATATTATGTAATATTATATTAAATAAGCAAATATAATATACAAAATAAATGACAAAATTTAAATATTGTTCTCGATATAATTTACCTATTTAACAATACAATCTAGTATTACCTACGGGTCATTCTACTTATGTTTATTCTATGATAAAAAAAAAACAACCGCGCGAACACAGAGTAGCGCACATTTTTTGTTTGAGATAGCTGTTCTAGTACATAAATACATATTACTTCAATGGATATTTATAACTTGGGACATAAAAGTTATAACCAGTTTTAATTTTTAAGATTATGTACATATACTAATATATAATATTATTTATTTTATTTATTTATTTACACTTTATTGTACTAAAGGTACAAACGGCGGACTTAATGCCATATGGCATTTTCTACCAGCCAACCGGAAAGTTAGTGGGAGATGTGTGTACTGCAGTGGGCTAAGATGAAACCTAAAATTGATAAATTTCACATAACCCTCCTCCACACACACACACACATCACACACACATATACTCATAGCTCAAACTTAATTATATATACATATATATACATACATACACATACATATATACATATACATACATACACACATATACACACGTATAAACATACATATACAATAGATATAATAGATTAAATGCTATAGATTATTTATATATTTATGTGTCAGATGAACCCAAATAATGTTCCTATACCTTTGTTTTAAAAATCCACTTGTTGGGGGATTTTCTTATTGCTAGGGGAAGCGCATTCCAGAGTCTTACAGCTGTAACAACGAAAGAGTTTGAGAGGAAACCAGTACGGTGAGAGGGAGTATTATGTGCTAGTGTTACAATTTTTTTTATTTAACTGTTATTATGTTTATGTTTATACAATGGTAAATGTGATAAATTGTATTTTCAGGCTTGTGAACAACATCAAACCAGGAATGGTGAAGAAGGTGAACGAATCGAGGATGGCGCTCAAATACATGGAGAACATCAACGCGTTCCTGGAAGAGGCGCGCCAGCTCGGCGTGCCAGCGCAGGAATTATTCCAGACGTTCGACCTTTGGGAGCGACAGAACCTGAACTCTGTGGTTATTTGTTTGAAGTCGCTCAGTAAATTAAATATAAAACTGTATAAAAAGGGTTACTTTTTATACAGTTTTTGTTTAATTTTTCAAAGTTCAAAGTATAAGTATACAGTATAAATAAAATAAGTTCTTTTTTTTTTTATTCGTGTTAGCTTCAGCATGGCTCTACCGCATACAAAACTTCACGATGCTATTTAAGCCCGCGGCGTGTGCGGTTGTTTGCGACTGTCTCTGCACCAGTGGGCTACGTAATAAAATGCAGGGTTAATCACTCATCATCTGAATAGTCATAATAGCTCAAGAGCTAAGTGCTCACCATAATTTAACCTGGTTGCAGTTCCCACCAGCACCAATGTGATGATCATTGATGTGTGATTGATCATTTATTTGCAATTTTAAGTGTTGATTTACCATGTGCACTATGGTGAATGGAAACATCGTGAGGAAGCCCGTATATCTGAGAAATAAAATATATTTGGACACCAACACGCAATGGAACAGCGCAGATTATTGCTCTAAAACCCTTTTAGAAATGAGAAGAAGAGAGTTTTAACTTTGATAGTCGTCTTAACTTTTCATATACGCGCTATACGGTCAAAGTCGCGGGCAGCAACTATTGTAGTAATACAATGGTAAATGTGATAACTTGTATTTTCAGGCTTGTGAACAACATCAAACCAGGAATGGCGAAGAAGGTGAACGAATCGAAGATGGCGTTCAAATGCATGGAGAACATCAACGCGTTCCTGGAAGCGGCGCGCCAGCTCGGCGTACCGGCGCAGGAAACATTCCAGACGGTCGACCTTTGGGAGCGACAGAACCTGAACTCTGTGGTTATTTGTTTGCAGTCGCTCGAGAGAAAAGTTAATTAAACCGCATTTTTTTATATATAGAATAAATATATTAACTTTGGCCTCTCAGTATATCTATGAAAATTTGATGTATGTTCACAAAAACAAAGGTAGTTTTAGTAAAAAAAGTAACATACACTCTGTAAACACTAGGAACAAACACAAGCTAGTGATACCAGTTTCTCGACTCCACAGAGACAGTAATTCTTTCTTGGGGCAATGTATACGCTATTACAACAAAGTGCCAGAAAACATACAATGTCTTTCTATTACGAAGTTTAAAAATTAAATTAAACAAAAACTGTATAAAAAGGGTTATTATGATATAAATGAACACATGGTTGATTACCCTGGGAATGAGGTGGTCTCTTCCAAGCTGTTTCTAAAATTAATTTTGGAAATATTTTGTGACCATTGACATTGTAAAATTTAGAAGAAGAACGGTCTGACCAGGCGTACAGAGCAGTCGTGTTTTACAATTTTTTAAATAAATTCAATTACGCTCAACAATCTAAATTAAAACTTAATTATTCAAGGTTAAGATATAAAGTTAATTGAGTTACCAGTGCATCGATTACGTGATAAATTGCGGAGATTTACTTCTACATCGGCGCATAAGCAAGGTAACCGCTCTTCACCCCCTCGGGGAAAAGAGACAAATTATATTTTATTTGACCTTTCACTCCGTAGCGATCACTGAGCTTAGGCGTGATATACGCTGTGCCACAGATCTATGATGAACGTACTACGCTCGCCTACTGGAAGTGGCCTAAGTGGGTCGGAACCAAATTTGTCCACAACACCTAAGCCTACAGATAAATCAAAGTTTAACATGCGCAATAAGAGAAAGCGTTTTGATGAGTGCGAAGATATCAAGGAAGAATTAAGCGAAATTCGTAAACAAATGTCACAAATGATGTCGATGCTCACAAATTTGAGCCTTAGTCAGCAAGAATTTAATAATAAAATGAATAATGATGTCTCAGATATTAAAGAACAGATGGCTAATATAAAAACTAATATTCAGAATCTCACAATAGAGCAAAACACAATAAAATCTGATATCCTAAATATAAAGTCTAATAATAATATTACCAATAAGAACGTTGAAGCATTGCAGTCTGAAGTAAACCTGCTTAAAAATACGTCAGGCAATCTTACAACTCAGCCTGCAGACACTTCTTACGAGTCTATCATATCTGAAATTACTGAACGAAACTCTAGACGTAAGAACATAATCATAGATGGACTACCGGAACCCGTATCGAAAAATAAAGAGGAAAGGAAAGACATCGACATAAAACAAGTAACTAAAATAGTAAAGACGATAGATGAGAGTTTCCAGCCCAAAGTGGTATACCGTCTTGGCAGATATAGCTCCGGCAAAGATCGTCCCATAAAAGTATGTTTTTCGTCTTCAGAGACAGCTTTAACTATGTTACGCAGTAGAAAAAATGAGAATTTAGGCAATCTCAAAATATACGCAGATCACACCCCTCTACAGCAAAAATATTATAAAGACCTTAAAGAAGAAGTAAAGCGCCAATCGATAAATAATAACAATAAAAACTTTATTATAAAATATGTAAGAGGTGTGCCGAAGATCGTAGAAACCTCCTCAAAAAACTAAAATCACATGACACCACTCACCTCCAAACACTTTCGTGCAACATAAACCCAACTACCTATGAAATTGTTAATAGTTACAAAGATATTTCTTCCACCAAAAAGTCTCTACGATTTCTATATGCTAACGTAAGAAGTATAGTGAAACCAGGAAAATTGGATGAACTAAAATGCGTAGTTGAGTCGTTTCAGAATAGGATTCATATAATCATCCTATCAGAGACATGGATAAAGTCAGACGAGGAAGCTATTAGTCTTCAGATTCCCGGCTATATTCACCATTTTAATTACAGGCGTAACATGAGAGGTGGTGGAGTATCTATATTCATTTGCAATAGCCTAAAACACCACGTAACAGAAAATCAGTCCCAGGGTGAAAATCACTACCTATGGATCCATCTTGACCACTATTGTCTTGATATAGGTGCTGTATATCGGAAACCAGACGCCTCAAATTTAAAAAGTTTCTTGGAATTTTATTCCAAGCAATTACATGAAAGAAGCAGAGCCCTTGTATTTGGAGACTTTAACATTGATTTACTGAGTCAACAACAGGCAATCAATAACTACAAGGAAGTGCTAGAAGAGAATGGTCACAATATAATAAATAAAATAGACAAAAAATACTGTACCCGTGAAACAGTTTCAACAAAATCAATAATAGACCATGTTTGCTCAAATCTCAAACGACACAGATTTAATTTCATCATAATCGAAACCCCTATGTCTGACCACAAGCAAATATACTTTGAAATACAGAAATCCCGGCCTGAACCACTGCGAAAAGTTAGATATGAAGCTATTAACTACGAACAACTATGTAAAACTATGGTAAACTGTACAGATATTGGTAATAAATCATATGAAATATTTAAAGAGAAGCTGGATTCTTGCCTCAACAATAGTAGATTCCCAAAAGTAAAAATTCTTAACCCACCTCGCCAAGACTGGATCAATAGGAAAATTTTAGATAGAATAAATAGTCGAAATATAATATGGAACAAATTTAAGAAGAATCCAGAGGACAAATTATTAGAAGAAGCATTCATCAAAGAAAGAAACGAAGTATCAAGAACCATTCATAAAACTAAAACTAAATATTATTTAAAAGCATTCAATGACTGCAAGAGCAACCCTAAAAAGATGTGGAAACTAATAAAAGACCTTTCTAACAACAAAGTAAGAGACCCATCACTACCGAGTAAACTTCTAACAGCGAATGGTTACATAACGGATCAAAATGGTATATGTGAACAATTTAATGACTTTTTTACTAATGTAGGCTTGATCTTAAATAGTCAAATACTAGCAAATCCCCATAATAATTTAACCTATACAAATAAAGCAAACACTGCCAAGTCAATCGCGCTAACACAGTTACAGCCATGTACAATGGAAGAAATTGCTAATTTTATAGATAGCTTAAGCACAAATACTAGCTCCGGATTAGACGGGGTAAATAGCAAATCAATAAAATGTTTGAAACACATCATCCTTCCTGAACTTACAAATTGCATAAATAAAAATCTAGAAAACGGTACTTTCCCCTGATAGTTTAAAGATCGCTAAAGTTACACCTATATTTAAATCTGGTACTAAATTGGAACCTGGCAATTACCGCCCAATATCTGTTCTTCCTGTAATGTCTAAAATCTATGAAAAACTTTTATATAAACGTCTTGAAACTTATCTCTCTGCACAAAACTTCTTTTACAAGCAGCAGTATGGTTTCAGACCGAAATCTAACACACTGTCAGCTACAGTAGACCTCATAACTAAAGTGAAACTTAGTATTGATAAAAAACAAATAGCACTAGGAGTCTTCATAGATTTAAAGAAGGCTTTTGATACAATTAGTCACGACCTACTATTAAAAAAACTATTTGATATTGGCATTGCAGGAACCGCTCATGAGATACTCAGATCTTACCTCACAAATCGTCGGCAAGTGGTTAAGATCGGTGAAACACAGAGTGGGCCCAGAGTTGTAACCTGTGGTATACCTCAGGGATCGATTCTGGGGCCTCTTTTGTTTCTTATATATATAAATAATATAAAAAAAACTCGGGCTTAATGGAGACATAACGTTATACGCCGATGATACCGCTCTATTCTACTTTGGCCATTCTATAGACTCTGTTATTAAAGACGCACAAAATGACTTAGATGTTCTAAACACTTGGTTTCAACGCAATCGGCTTACTATAAATATATCAAAAACAAACTATATAATATTTACAGCAAAAAACAAAAAAATATCACACTACACGCCATTTGACAATAAATAACCAAATTATAAATAAAGTTAATGAAGAGAAATATCTTGGACTGATATTAGACTCGCACTTAACATGGAAACCACATATTTCTAAAATTAAAACAAAATTAACTTCTCTTTCTGGTGCCATACGGGGGATGGCTGTATGTTTACCGCACCGAGTTCGATATAATATATACAACTCTCTTATAAAACCGCATTTAGAATACTTGACTGAAGTTTGGGGCACCGCTGCGAAAACAAATCTAGAACCACTACAAAGGTCACAAAATAAACTTATTAAAATATTATTTAAATATGATTTCCTTACACCAACAAATCTACTGTATAAACAAACAAAATTATTAAATATTACTCAAACATATATATATAAAACTTGTATATTAATAAGAAAAATATTAAATAAAGATATATATACTCAAATAACATTCAAAAAGAAACAACAAATACATAAAATTGGACTAAGACGTGCAAACGACCTTTGCCTCCTAACCCCAAGAACTAATTATGGTAAAAAAAACTTAATGTACGAAGGTGCGAAATTGTATAACCAATTACCGAAAAATATCAAAGAAGCAAAATCAATCCCAACATTTAGAAAGCACTTAAAATATTATTTAACTTCTAACCTGAGCGTACATTGATTTCACTATTTTACGCGTCGCTTCTAGCTACACTCGGTCTGTGTAAGGTGCGCGTCCAAGCATTGTTTGCGCCTTTGGCTATGTAAGACTTTAAAAGTACCCTATTTTTTTTTTTTTTAGTATTTTGTTGCTCTAGGAATAAAAATTGCTAAAACATGTATAATTACAACTGAATGTGCTTGAGTGAAATTGATTCGATATATTAGTGTACGCCTAGGATAAGACTATTATTTTTGTTTGTATGTGTTTTAAAACTTTCTCATATAAGTGAATTATTATTATAAAATTCTTATGAGAAATAAAGATATCTCAAACCTCAAAACTTATGACCTTAGACACCTATGTTTTTTTAATGTAAACAATTTTATTACTTATTATTGTTGTGTGGCAACATAAACGAAACCAAAAGGCGGTGGAAAGCGACAATGCTGTCCTTCCTGACCTTGAGTTGACGAAAAAAAGCGTTGCCAAACATTGTTCACTTGTTTGATTTGTTACAAAATTCATTCTGATTTCGGTTGTCACGCGCTATGATTTGCGCGCGGAATTTCTTGTGTATTATCCGTATTTTGTATGCATGTTTTCATTGATTCGAATTTCAATATTTCTCTAGTATATATTTGAGACTATATTGTAATTTATCGTAGGTATGGTAATTAATTATTCTAAAAACGCAATTATGTTTTCGGTGATATTAGAAACAGCAGGCTGATTACCTATGTCATACGTGTCAGTGTTTTATATATGAATGTGTTTGAATATGTTTTTGGTCAACAATAAATATAATTATTATAAATCGGTAAACAAACAAAGTAGTCACAAAATTAAACTTGCAAACATTTGCTAAATATGGTTTTGCCGGGTTACATTAAACATCTTTTACGCATTTTGCAAACAGTTTCAGATATGCACACATTATTATTAGTTTGTTATATTTTGTAGAGGTTAAGTTCACGGTTATGGTGCGTTCAGAAACAAATATAATTCAGTTACATAAAATCCTTTTTTCTGTTCCGTGCTTTATTGTTTATAAATGAATAGCTTATTCTAATCTGAGTTATATTTTTCTTATTCGTCGGCCAATTCTACCAGAAATATAAATATGGTTTTTCCGGGTTACATTAAACATCTTTTACGCATTTTGCAAACAGTTTCAGACAGGCACACATTATTATTAGTTTGTTATATTTTGTAGAGCTTAAGTTCACGGTTATGGTGCGTTCAGAAACAAATATAATTCAGTTACATAAAATCCTTTTTTCTGTTCCGTGCTTTATTGTTTATAAATGAATAGCTTATTCTAATCTGAGTTATATTTTTCTTATTCGTCGGCTAATTCTACCAGAAATATAAAGATAAAATTGAAATAAAAGAATAAGTAATTTTTTGTACAGTTTAGTGTTCTAGATTTTGTGTTCCGAACGCAACCCAGTTTATATAGAATTGAAAGAAGATTTGTATATGATTGCTTCAAATAGATACTTCTGTTTCGATAAAAAATTCAATAGTGTAATGTAATAAAATAAAACTGCGTTATATTGTAATCAATGTTGACATAATTTATTTCCCAAAGTTATAAATCAATTAAATAGTTTACGGCAACAAATATAACTTTTATTTTTATAACAATCGTATATAGCGTTTCGTAGTTCTGCCTACCCAATCTACACAGACAAATAATCTATACAGAAAAATTAAAAACTTGTTTTTTTACATACACGCCGTCTAGTGTTCAAGCTTCGTAAACGTAGGGATACGTCTGTGTGTGAAAACGACACTATATTCAATGGCAGATGTTATAATCAAGCTTTGTGTCGAATTGGGTAGATTTTGAAGCAGTGATATGACCCATTCCAATAAAATGTCATATTCGATAACCGCAAAGTCTACTCCTACGACAGCTTATTGCTCTAACGGCGCCTCTACACGTTGGCCAACACAGTGGCGAATGTGGTGGCCAATAGCATTGGCCAACGTGTAGAGGGGGTGTTTGGGCTTCATTGGTATGTATTGGATCGATGGCCCACAAGTTGGCGCGAGATCCGTGTGGTGTCTGTTTTTTACAAAAGATCAAAGGATTGTTGGCAGAGTTTGGTCGCCGCGTCCACACGTTGGCCGCGCGTTTAGTTTGCTACAAGCTCCCAGAGTGATTACACGCATCTGATTTAAATTTTATATTCAAGCTTTTTAGGGATGCCCCAATTACCAGCCTTTTAGTGCCAATTTCAATTTTAAATATTCCTACTACTTTAATTAGCGCGATTTAATTATTTTTAAACATTTTTTAATCGATAAGCTATTTATCAAAAAAAACGAACATTTGTTTGCAATCAGATTATTACGAGAACAAATTTAAAATGAAAAAAGAAAATGTCGTTTATACGTGGTAGAACCATGCAGTTATATTAGAATTATAGTTGTAGCACGAATGGGTCGGCTCAACCGGGGAAGGACCACGCTCTCACAGAATATCAGCGTAAAATAGTAGCTTAATGATGCTGTGTTTCGTATAGTGAGTGTAGAGAACCAGAGTCCCTAGACTAATCGATTATAACTCCTTTAACTTTAAAATAAGTTATGTTCTTATTAATGGTATTTATTCCAGTTTATGATGCATGTAAAGAATAAATAAAGGTAATCGTATATTGTATATCTATTTACAGCCCCATTAATATCCACTATTCTTTTATAATTATTTTATAAAAACGTTACCCCCACAGCCCACAGCCCCAGGCAGTATACAAACATAAATTGCACAAGGACACACATCCAGACCCGAAACAATTATTTGTAGGATATACAAATAATTTTGTAGGATATGCGGGATTAAAACCCGCGGCCCCCGGCACAGCCACTCATTGCTAAGCCACTGCGCCACGGAGCCGTCGTCTAAAATAAAATAAATTCGTCGTGTCGTGTGTGGACGCCGTCACCAACTCTCGGCCAATATATTCGCCACTACATTCGCCACTGTGTTTGCCAACGTGTAGAGCCGACATAAAACCCTTTTAGAAATGAGAAGAAGAGATTTTTAACTTTGATAGTCGTCTTAACTTTTCATATACGCGCTATATGGTCAAAGTCGCGGGCAGTAACAATTGTAGTAATACAATGGTAAATGTGATAATTTGTATTTTCAGGCTTGTGAACAACATCGAACCAGGAATGGTGAAGAAGGTGAACGAATCGAAGATGGCGTTCAAATGCATGGAGAATATCAACACGTTCCTGGAAGCGGCGCGCCAGTTCGGCGTACCGGCGCAGGAAACATTTTAGACGGTCGACCTTTGGGAGCGACAGAACCTGAACTCTGTGGTTATTTGTTTGCAGTCGCTCGGGAGAAAGGTTAATTAAACCTCATTTTTTATATATAGAATAAATATATTAATTTTGGCCTCTCAGTATATCTATGAAAATTTGATGTATGTTCACAAAAACAAAGGAAGTTTTAGTAAAAAAAAAAGTGACATACGCTCTGTAAACACTAGGAACAAACACAAGCTAGTGATACCAGTTTCTCGACTCCACAGAGTCAGTAATTCATTCTTGGGGCAATGTATACGCTACTACAACAAAGTCCCAGAAAACATACAAGGTCTATCTATTAGTCTATTACCAAGTTTAAATATTAAATTAGACAAAAACTGTATAAAAAGGGTTATTATGATATAAATGAATACATGGTTGATAATAACCTCTGGGAATGAGGTGGTCGCTTCCAAGCTGTGTCTAAAATTAATTTTGTAAATATTTTGTGACCTGCTTGCCTGAACCGATTTGGAAAATTATTTTTTGGTTTGAAAGAATATACTTTCCAGACGATCCCATGGTAATCGATGATGGTTAGATCAGGATCTGATGATGGGATCTTGGAGAAATAGAGGGAACTCTTCAATAAATGACAGCAAATCAACCGTGATTGCTGCTATTGCGTATCTGTGCATTCTATCACTAAAGGGACATAACTCTCAACTAAAAATAGTAACATAAAAAAAAATGAAAAAAAAATATAACCGACTTCTAAAACAGAAAAACGTGTAAAATAATATGTTTTTTTTTATGTTTTTGTATTTTATTGTAGGTTATGCACACATTACTGTAGGTACTATGTATTGTAAATAGGTATTTACTTACCATAGCTAGATAGCTATAATAGCCCACAGGTTAGTTTGTTAATTGTTTATTGATTGTATGTGTTCAATAGCGGTTTGCAATATTCTCTTAGTACTTAGAAAGTTATCAACAATAGGAATTGTGTCACTGCAGGGACAAGCACACACGTCTATCAAAATAGTAACGTACCTAAACGGAATAGGACTAACAGCACAGACTTCCTTACAGAAGTCCAAAGAACACGTCTAGGCAAGGTAAGTAATTAGAAGAAAACTACAATTTAGAGATCGATTGTAAATCAAATTCACAGTACAGACACAATTAGCGAAATATAAATAAAATTTTGAATTACTTTATTATAGTAGATAACGCTAGTTGAAAACTAAACACTGTATGGAATGACATCACTGAACGAGTCAGGTGGTCAGTCCAAACAAATAAAAGGCGCGATTGTTGAAAGAGATTCGTTACGAAACGTTTGTAGGCTAGGGGGCTTGGCCTATTTATGCTATTGATAACGAAGGCTATAAAATATGTACAAATTAGAAACTAAATCCTATGTGTACTTATCTGTATTCATAACCCAATATCTGAGGTAGGTTCATCTAAGATGATGAATTTTTATATAGATCTTATTATTCTGTAATAAATTAAATCTAAACCAAAATATATACTATAATACCATAATAAAGCTACTACTATTTTATTTAGTAGTAGCTTATATAGTAGTATAGTAAATTATATATAAAAAAATATGAGTATGTCTGAGGTAAGATTAAATATAAACAAATATTTTCCAAGTGCGAATCCGACTTTAGAGCTTCCGTACGATCAAAAAGCCAAAAATACACGTTTCTTTTTCTAGTAGGAAACCCTTTAATTTCAAATTTATTTTTACTATTTGCTGTTATAACGGCAACAGAAATACACGTTCTATGAAAATTACAACCATCTACCTGTTACGGATCATGAGATACAGCCCGCTGACAGACAGACACACGGACAGCGGAGGCTTCGTAATAGGGCCCTGCTGGTTACCCTTCGGGTACGGAATCCTAAAAAGTACTTAGTTGTCCACTCACATCTGTATGGTTCTTTCTTCAAAGGACCATTGCCTGCCTGGTGCTCGTATGACATGACCAATGTAATACCTGGACTGACCTCTTTGAGTTTGTTTCGGCAGATCGGGTGCTTCTTCTCAGTTTCATGTTTTTGTTGTGTTAAAGTGTTTAAAAAAAAACAACTTACCAACCAAATTTTATTTATCATTGACTGTCCTTCTTAGATTCTTATGTACTTACATAAATTACATTAGGTATATTAGGATATGAGATTCCTTTATGTAAACACGATTATCGAAAATCTAAAAATTACCTATTCTAATTAAATTTATAGATAATTTTAAGATTTTGGACAATCGATCAATGAGATGTTTTCGTTAGTTGGCAAATTGAAGTAGTTAAGTACCTAATGTACTAACTGTATCGAAAGTTCATTATTATGTACCTACCTGTTTTCAATTTTAACTACATGTGCTTCAACAAACTTATGGGTACATTTTAGCAGCTATATTCATCCCGGCTTCAGCAAGTGGACACGAACAAAAGGAAGCAATTATTCTAAATAAAGATGTAGATATTACAACCATAAATAGATAGCAGCGGCTATTCTAATGAGCATGTGTGGGTGCGCGCTGCCCCCCCCCCTCCGTCCGTCCCACTGATCGGGGAAACAATTTGTAGCGAAAGGCAAGATAATTTACAACAAAAAAGAGCGCGCCAAATTTTATAAACAGACCTTTGGGAGTCTGGATGTCATGAAAAATCTATTGAATGTATCTGTTCAAAATAAAATTATTTACATTTTTGAACAACTAATTTATCCCTGTATGGTAACTGTTTTGCAATTTTCGTTCTTCTCATGGTATTTATTTCCGCCCAAAGATGTGTTAAAAATAGTGTTGAAATTCGGAATTTTCGACGCTTATAACTTTTAAACATAATCTTTTTTTACTTTTTTGTTTCCATACAGGGCTAGATAATGATGAGAAAAATTGAAATCGTTTTTTATTTTGTACGTACACCATCAAATAGTGGAGTAATCGCCAGACTACGTTTGTATGGAAGAACGAGCGACTAGTGTACCCTTAACGGAATTTTCTGCTTGCCCATTTGATACTGGGTGATATGAAGGAGTAGTTAAATGTTGTATACCATTTGACAAACAAAAGTTTTCAAATTGATTTGAACAAAAATTACTCGTATTATCGGTTACCAGAGTGCGACATAACCCAAATCTACTAAATATCTCTAAAAGTTTGCTGATAATTGCTTCACTATCTGTATTATTTATTTGGAAACATTGAATTCACTTTGAATGTGTGTCTACAATAATTAAAAATTGTTTGTTGGATAAAGAAAACATGTCTAAATGAACTTGTTCCCAAGGACGTTTCGGAAATGGCCACGATGCTAGTGGAGAACGGGGTGGATCATAGCGGGGCGAGTTGCAAATACTACACGATCCTATCATTTCTTCAATATGCTTATTAATATTGGGCCACCAATAAATAAATTACAATGCCAAAATGGACCTTATGCAATTCTTTAAGTAGACTTTTCCTAAAACTGTTGGTATAACCACTTTATGTCCCCTTAATAAACACCCATTTTCGACACTTAAATTATTTTTACATTTAAAATACGGTTTAAGTTCCGCGTTGTGCATGTTCAATGGCCAGCCATTTATAACAAAATTTATAATTTTACAGAGTATTTGATCTTGCATAGCTTCTTTACTAATGTCATTTACTGTAATAGGTTTTAACATATTATCGTTAAGCACCCGGATGACCGAGCTATGCTCGGTTTTTTTTGAAATTACATTTAGATAGAAATTACATACTGATGAAACATAAATAATATTTTTTGATCTTATTAACATAATAGAAAAAACTGAACTGGTTATTTGAATAAAAAAAATCATGAGTGCAATTAGTTTAATTAAAATTTTCGTATTTTTAAAAAATACTAAAAAAAAAGGGCTTGAAATAATATATATAATAATATATAAGAATATAATATTTTCTCACAAAAGAAGGGAACTTGAAAAAAAAAGGGAAAAAAAGCCGGACAGAGCCAGGACGCGAACCACGGCACTCTGATATCGCGCCCGACCAACATACCACCTGAGCTATTGCGATCGTTAGCAATTTGTCAAAATTTACCTTCTTATATTGTAACAGTTTTTTATTGCCTGAAAACACGGACAAAATGACATTTTCTAAAAATAAATCCTAGCTAGATCGATTTATTGCCCCCGAAACTCCCTGGACACAAAATTTTATGAAAATCGTTGGAGCCGTTTCCGAGATTCCGATTATATATATACAATATATATTATATATATATATATATATATATATATATATATTTTTTTATATATACAAATTATATATATTTCAAAGCTAATGGTTCTAGTTCTCTTAAAAAAACTTTAACTGAGCATCATTTTTTTATTTTTAAAGTTACTTTATATTTATTAAAAGTTCGCTGGTCTGTAAACAACTGTGAATATGTTTCCTTCAATTCTTTTACTAAATCGTTTACCAGTATTGTAAAATGTGATTTTCTTTAATTCTTTTACTAAATGTTCGCTTTCTGTAAACAACTGTGAATATGTTTCCTTCAATTCTTTTACTAAATCGTATGTTCTAAGTTGTTACAGTCACCAATACACAGTTTCATATTAAAACACGTTATAAAATTACGACCCAACAGAACTGGTTGTTTTATATCTGTTTTTATAATATAAAAACGAATAATTTTAGTATGATTTTCATACGTCACCGGTAATAAACAATAGCCCAAAGGAGATATTTTCGAGCCATTATAACAATTTAAAATAACGTTACAATGGTTTAATGAATAATTATTGTGAAAATAGGATTGATAAACCATCTCTATCTATTTCACATAAAATTCGCTTTGACGCTATCGACACGACCAGTCTCATCGGCATAGCGTTTAAACACCCAATATTATACAAATCATATGAAATACCTTATACTAAATCATTGTCATCCACCTCCAAATAATTATTGCTCTTATATGTACTCTTACAAACACGTTTTAAATGCCCTTTTTTATTACACTTTTGACAAAAATAATTCGCGTATCGACATTTATCTTTAGTATGGTTCTTATATCCACAAACCAAACAAGATATGTTCG